GAGTGATTTCCCTTAGCTCCTTCTTTAGTCTTTTCTTGCCTCTTCTTGAGATTTGAGCTTCATCCAACATCCCATTTAATCCAGGAACAGATGCTAGTCAATGTCCTTCCTCATTCCCTTCACCGACTTCACCATTAATTCCCTCAAAATTATTTTGTAAATGAACCTGTGCTGGACACAAATGAAAATATTTTATCTTTATGTTGCTCAGTGGTCCTGGGAGCTTTTGCTCAATACTTTATCATATTTTTACTTGTTTCATACGCTGTAAGGTGGGTATCTTTATCAACATCATTATCACYTGTATTAGTTTTCTGTTACTAAAAAAAATACCTGATACGAGGTGATTTCAGGGTTTTTTGGCCCATGGTCTGGAAGCTAAAAAGTCCTAGAGCATGGAGCTGGCATCTGCTTGGCCTCTGGTGAGGGTTTCTTGCTGCATCACAACATGATAGATTGCATCACATGGGAAGACAGAGCAAGGGTTCTACCTTGAATCTCTCTTCTGATACAGCCACTAATGCCTTCATAGGGCCTCACTCTAAGGATCACATCTAATCCTGATTGGCTTCCAAAGTCCCCACCTCCAAATACCATTAACATACAAATTTGAGAATTAAATTTCCCACATATGAAGTTTTGAAGGACATGTTCAAACCACAACATCATCATCTCTCCATCTCATAAATGAGAAAATTGAAGCTTGAAAAAAGTAGGTGGTTTGTCTAATATCACATAGCTATTAATATCACATATTGATATCGAATATCACTTATTGAGACCTTCTAATAGACAACTCTGCTTCAGACATCTCAGAGAAAACCTCAAGGTCTCTATCTCAAGATTGCCCTATTTTATATACAAAGATCCAGCTATCTAAACCGTATCAGGTGCCTGACTTTTGGCAAAGTGACATGGAAAAAGAGAGGAACGTTGGGGGGGTGGGGGGGCCAGGTACACAATTGGTGTCTGCTCACAGTCCACCTGTGTAGATGCTTCATCAATTCGTGACCATTTGAGTTAGCAAAAAATCTCCTCTGAAAATGGAAGTAGCTTCTAGGAGAATGAAGCATGCCTGATAAACCCTGGGTGTCACCAGATACAACAATTCAAGTGTAGAACATTTAACCATAGATCAAGAGGTCTTTAAAAAATAAGGTGTTCTTCATACAGTGAATGAAAATGAATCATACATTTGGAGCCTGGATCAACACACTGCRTGACTAAATCTCACACCCACAATGAAAGAACTCAAACCACGAAATGCATTTTGGGTGGCTCCATACCAAATCCATGGTGTTTTAAGTCAGGATACTTGTTACTTGTAGGGGTTGAACAGGAGTAGTAAAATAAAATAGGGGTTCCCCAATACCCATGCTTCTTGATATCCTGAGTATGGGTTAGGGTTGGGTAGGGGTTAGGGATGCAGGCCAAGCAGTCACACAGAACTGGGTTCAAATCCTTGGTCTGCAACTGGGTGATTTTGAACAAGAAACGTAGGCTCCCTGTGCCTCCGATTTTTCCATCTATAAAGTGGACTAATAATACCTTCCTCAAAGGGTTGGTGTGAGAAGTAAGTGAAATAATGTATGTAAAGTGCCTGGCAGCCTGCGTAGGTGCTGTAATAAACGGTGACTATCATTATCCCCACCCCGTGCCTGAGAGCAAACCAGGATCAGAGAAGAGATAGGTGAGAGCACAGGTGAGAAGGAAAGGGAAGGAGGAAGTAGGCTTATGATCAAAGTTGTGCAGAATTCACCAGAAAGCTGCACAGGAGGGAGCTGTTTCTTCCCCTCCCTCTGCCCACACAGCCTCCTGAATCTTGTTGCCTACAAGTGTAGGCTGGTCCCATGCAGCTCACAAAGTGGTTTTGGTCCCATCCATACCGGCCCTCGCCAGGAGATTTGACGTTCATCTGATAAATTAATTTGTACTAATGGTCTCCTAATGGTTACCAGCCATTCGCTGGGTTAGCCTTCTGGTGACATGCGTTGCATTTCAGCCAAGCCTTATGGACATTCAAGACCTGGATGTAGGCTGGTGTGATTTTACCTTACCCCAGGTCAGAAAGGAGACAGGGTGGGAGGGAAGTAGGGAACACTATAAACAAGTTAGCCAGAAAGGTCCAGGCTGCAGGGACAAGTCAGGGCCCGGGAAGTCCCAGGTGGAGAGATTCTGCAGGTTTCCTTCCTGGCTGAAGAATGGAGAACTATACCAGGCATGTTGGGTTCTTTCTAAGGAAGAAGGAAAGATCTCCTGTCAGYCAGGAGCTCATGGCTTCTAGGACATCAGAGGAGAGGATGGATTTTCTGTTTTGACTTTGAATTGTTAAATGATATCTTAGAATATTCATACAGGGGATACTGCTCAATACAAAGAGGAGTAAACAATATTAGTTTGCAGTGAGATAGATCTTGGGATATCAAGATTAAAAGAAAAAGCTGAATTCCAGAGACTACACAAAATTCTGGAAAAGGCCACACTTATWGATACTACAGATGCCTGAGGCCAGAAGTGGAACTGATTTAAAGGGGAGTGAGGAAATGTTTCCAGAGGGTGGAAGCATTCTCCATCTGACAGAGCAGGGCGGACAAAGGACATATGCTTTTGTCAGAGTCCACTGAACTATACACATGGGGTGGTGCAATTTATTTTATGCATGTTATCCCTTAATGAAGTTGATTTTAAAGGGAAAAATATGATGTCTTAGTCATCTAGGTCGTTCTGCTCCTGGAGTAAGCTGGGAAACCAGCAGAGAGCTGCACTGGGTCCTGATCTCCATTATTCTCCTAGTAAAGCAGTGGTGCTCAGTATTCAACAAGTAATGGGACACTTTCTCCTCTCCTGATCATGACAGCCACTCTACGAGGTGGGCATGATTCACTCCATTTTATAAGTAAGGAAACTGAGGCACAGGATGGCTAAGAAAACCAGCCTACGCCTTCTGAGTCAGAATGCTGCTATCTTTCCCTTATTCAGGACCACCCCTGGTCTTAGAGATCACACCCATCTAGGGAAACTGAAGCCAGAGAGTACAAGTAACTTGAAGCAGTTGTGCTATTAGTCAAGATAGTCTAAAACCAAAGGTCTGCCTCCTCTCACATGTGTAAGGAAGAAGTATTCAATTCGGATCCTCCTGAATGAAGACAGAAGGACATTCATTTCCCATAATGAGACTTTCAGAACAGCAGAGAGGCTCTATCTTAAAACACAAGCAAGCAAGCCTCCTTTCCAGGGATGCAGACTCCACCTCTCAGGGCATGGTGCCGGCCCCCCACCCCCTGAGTCCCAAGGGTCTTCTAACTTTAACAAACTACAGCAACAAGCACATGCATTACCTCATCACCGTCTGGCTTATTTCCTAGAAGCGATTGTCCAAAGCTTGCTCCATTTCCCCCCTGCTGTTGGCTTTGCACCCTTGGCCCATTCCTCCTGCCTGAAATCACACAGCTCTGACCCCAGAGAGCCAGAAGGAGCCTCCTCCTCCTCCTTCTCAAAGTCCTTAAGTCAGGGAAGAGGCCCCCCGGTGGCCAGCAATGCACATCATGTGGCCATCCATAGATAGTTTAAAAGCAGGTATGAGCGTGGGAGGGGAGGGAAGAGGGAGGGATGATATATGGTGGTCATGATGATGTGCACACAGGAGAAAGTCCTGGGAGGAACCACAAGAAATAGCAGATGGTGGCTGACAAGAGGGACAGACACCAGAGGGTGGGAGGAGGGAGAGTTCTACTTCCCATTTAGCTTCTTTCTGTTCAACATGAATTTTCTAACCAATATACATGAATTGCACTYATTTATTTGTGCCAATAAGAATTGGCTAGCCCAAATTATGGGCCATATGCATTCTATACATACCTGTATTTTTAAAAAGGAAGAAAATTGGAAACATGAATTCTTAAACATAAAATAAGCTTCTATAATTTATCACCTCCCTTCCTTCACAGTGACCAAAACATGCATTAGTTTAAATGATCAAAAATAACAACAACAACAACAAAAAAAAAAAACTACAAAAAGTCCCCTCAGTGGGATAGAGCCAGGAGGGGTGAAGGTACAGTTCTCAATGGGTGCATTGTTCCCCCGTCTGCACCTCCAAGGGAGATCTCTCTGCCATTTTGATCTCTGGGTGCTTGGGTTATCTCCAGTCCCGAGCTCCTTCAAACCAATGCTTATTTAGGGCAGGATTGTCTTACTCTTCTTCGGCGCTTACAGAACATAAAGCATATGTCGGTAAAACAGAGGTAGTCTCCAAGATTGTGGGAGGGCCCAGGCTGACACCACTAGATAGGTAGGCAGTAGGTGCCCTCTGCCCCCTGTACCCGGAACCTTCACCAACTCCCCACGTCTGCTGTGAGAGCTCATGGCAAGGTTCAAACTCCTTCTCATGTTTACAAAGACCGTCCTTGATCTGGCCCGCTGCCTTTCTGCTCTGGCTCCCAAGACAATTTCTGTGCCCCAGCCGTCAAACAGGTCCATTCACCAGTCCTGAGCGCGCCTTGGGGTTCCTTGCCTTCAGGTCCTTTCTCTTGCTTTACCCAGACTCTTCCCGAGACAGCCCTAGTGCGCCCACTGTCTGGGCACGCTTCCTCTGACTGCCCCTCCACTGTGCTACGGGTTGTACCGGCTGCATTGTTTTTATCTAAGCCTCCCGCACGGGAGGATGAAGGCGTGTCTCTCACCCCTCCCTTTCCCGGTGTCTATTACAGGTCTAGGGTCTGCAGAAAAGTAGAGAAGGGAAAACGGGTGTAATTACAGCAGAAGTAGATTCAAATTCAAGGCTGGATCAAGACTGGGTCAGGGACAGAACTGGGAAAGGTTTAATTCCCGGTTCCAACCACTAGACGACGCCCGCAGCCTCATTCSGGTCAAGACGCCTCCAGGTTTTGAAGTTTATTACCTGTCTAACAAGTTTCCTTCCTGTCCTACTATCCCTTTAAGAAGGTGAACCAGGTGAGCCAGGGGCTCCGCCCCCGGCGCTATCCCCGCCCCCCGCCCCCGCCCGGCCCTCCCGGCTCACCGAGTCCCTCGCGACCTGGCCCAGCGGTGGGGGCCGAGGTCCCAGGTCCCGGCCCGGCGCCATGGAGCGGCGCTGGCCCCTGGGGCTCGGGCTACTGCTGCTGCTCTGCGCCCCGCTGCCCCCGGGGGCGCACGCCGAGGAAGGTACCGACCCCCGCCCTCGCCGCCCCCACCGCCCCCACCCCTCCGCGGTCGGCCAGCCTCTCCTGCAGGAGCCGGCATTCCTGAGAGGCCCTCCTTCCTGCGCCCCCTCCMGCTCCCTTGTTTTGCCGGGTCCGCGGGGCGATCGACTGGCCACGCCAATCTTTGGTCTTTAACCCCAAGCTCCAGCTGTCCCGCCAGTCCCGGGTCAATCACCCCCACTCCTGCTGGCCTGGAGTCTTTGCCTGGGGGTGGAGAGGGAATTCCTGACTATTGCCAGGAAGCAGCATCCTAACCCCATCCTTCATGGGACCCTTCATTCCCAAGCCAGGGATCCCAACCTCAGGTGCCCAACCCAGAGATCGATGCCCACCGAAGTCCGAGATGGGAAGTTGCTTTTTGCCAGTCCAGGCCATGCARCAGAGGGACCTGCCATCCTGAGGAAGGGTTAGGCTCAGATAGAGAGATTCTCAGTTGTAGAGGCCAAATTTTGCACTTAAGGCATGCATACCCTTAATGAAGCTGCTCCCCTCACTTCCCAAAATTGGAGCTGTGCTGGTACTCCCACCCACTACCCCCAGTTACAGGCCAGTGCAGGCCTTTGACAGAAGTTTAGAATCAGGTTCCCTACCCAATAGTCCCTTTCCAGGGCCCACTAAGTATTCCCAAGGGCTTAGCACCGCCTGCCATCCACTCTGCAGCTCTGCAGCAGATGGGTGTCCAGCCACACCAGCCCGGATGACTGAGCCCTTGCAATTCTCTGGAGCTGCTCTTCCTCSTGCTTCCTGTCTTGGCTTTGGTTAAAGCTTCACCCTCCAACCYTTGCCTGGCTCTGCCTTGCTCCTTTCACATTCTGAAGGAAAACAATGGAACCCCTGGAGCTCTTTATTCCTCAGTCCTGGGCCCTTTTGCTCTCCTAAACCTCAGGATGTAGCAGCTGCTTGGAAGAGGATGTTGGAGCTTGGGGCTGGAGCTCCAGAGGAGGAATGTGGGTTGCATGTACCTCTGCCCCCACAAATGACAGGCTCTTTTTTCCTCCACCTTCAGTCACTCTMATGGACACAAGCATGGCACAGGGAGAGTTGGGCTGGCTGCTGGATCCCCCAGAGGATGGGGTAAGTGTCCGGAGAGGAAGGATCTGGGGTGCTTCAAGGCTGAAGGCCAATGGGAAATGGGGTGGAGAGGTGGGTGGAGGAACCAAAATGAGCAGGAAAAACTGGAAGTGTCTCCTCCAGGAGGGGGAGGGGAGGCTGAGTCAGAGCCTCCTGAATGGGACATTGGGGGGGGGTCATTCTTCACCTCATGGGGAATGCCTCCTTGGCTGCTCCTCTCCCTTTCTGCTCCAGGGGTGAACACTTGAGAGGACCAGAGCAGGAGATGAGCCCCYATTTCCAGGGAGACAATGAATGTCCATGCTGGGCATGGCCAAGGGCTGAGACCACAGCCTGGCCCCGGGAGGGACGCAAACACCCGAAAGCATCCTCTACCCAGCTCTGCTCCTTCCAGCAGAGTTGCATTGACAAAGCTTCAGGAAGTCAGGGACCATCCAAAAGTGTGTTCTAAGTTACGTTTCTGGAGARGAGAGCCAAAGCTTTCCTCAGATTCTTCCATGGATCTTTGACTCCCTCGGATCTTCAAGCTGCTCYCCTCAAGGTCCCTGAGTCTTCATACCCCTCAGGCAGGCTCCTCGACCCGAGGTATTACAGTCAGTGGAGGATGCAGGAGCCTGCACTAAGTCCATTCTTCCTTGTGTGTCCCTGTAATAGAGTGAGCAGAGGTCAGTTGTGGGTGGGTCCCAGAGAGCATATTAGGTCATGAAGTCCAGAGAACACTCTTGCTGCYTCCCAACAGAGCTGGCCACAGCAGCACAGGAAGCTGCCTGAGCAGTTGGACACCCTGTTTCCTCAGTAGTGTCTTCCTTACTGTAGGACCTGAGCTTTCAGTTCAGTCTGTTTTGGAGGTCAGGGTTACTTGCTTTTTTTCCTTCCTGGTATGAGGGTCCTGGTTCCATTTGCTGCTTTCCCAGAGTGGCCCATAATTAGAATTAATAAACTAAACCATAACGTAACCTCCAGGAGGGGCAGCGTGGGAAATCCTGGATTAAGCCAGCCCTAATAGGCGCCTTGWCTCATAAACCAGCTAATCACCTCACAATGATGGCTGCAGGTCTCTCTGCTGGCTCCTATGGGCCTTGGTGTGCCCCTGCCACCTCCACCCAAATAACTCTCCTCTAATTGGACTGGAATGGGAACAAGGCCCCTTTCTCAGCCTCACAGAGAAAACAGTATTGCATTAGGAGGGCAAGAAGACAACCAGCAGTCACATGCTTCCATTCTCCTCTGTCCCCCCMATCTTCCCAAAACACATGCACACACACTCAACATCAGGATCCCCAGAATGCACCCATGACCCAGCCAGCAGTGCCTGAGTGGTAAGTGAAAGGATCCTTAGTGCTGTTCCTGGCTGGCTGGTTCTCCCCCATCTGTCACTGCTGGAATAGGGAGAGGCAGATTGCAGCTGGGAACATCTGCTTCTCCAGGCTCCAGCTGCAGCCCTGGCAATCTGGCTAATGAGCTGCACATGAACCACCCACCAACCCGTCCACCTGCCCTGCCCAGTGCCCTTCATCTGGGCTTCCTCAGTCACCCACGAGGTGCCTTTGCATTCCAGCCCCCTTCCTCTCAGACAACCCTTGCTAACTGTGCACTCTCTAACATAACATAATGCAGAAAGATGTGCCTCACAGCAGTTTATAATTCTCCCCCACCCCTTTAACAATTCTTAATTCATGATGCTTTTTCTTGTCTTTTCCCAGAGCTGAGAGTAGGCACAAAAGCCCACGTACTGCAGTGGAGTAAAACCAGGGAAAGGGAACTTTCTTAGGGCCTCTGTTTCTTCTTTATCAAATTACAAGGTAGAATCCAAAATATCAATGGACTGCTTCTTTCTTAAGTTCATCTGGCACAGAAAAGACTTAAGAATAACAGCATATTTTTTGAAGAAGAAGAAAATGGGAAACTTGTCCTACCAGCAGATTTCAGAACAGCAACAATAATTAAAACAGATGGCTTGACAAAAAAATGCTCAGGCCAATGGAAAAGAATGGAAAGTCCAAAAACAAACACACATATCTTTTAACGTGGATGACATTGGAATTGGAAATCAATGTGGAAAGTATTGTAAGGGACAGGAAAACTTTCTACCCTCTAACATTTCTATAAGTGAGCCGTTGGAATAGATAGTAATGGGAGAACCCGTATTTTAACTAACCTTCATACACACAGGAAGTCCACAAAATATGAGACTGGAGAAAGGGTCAGATGACTGGTGCATGCACACAATCCTGAGCTGAAGAAAGGAACTGGGGGTGAGAGGCAGCAACCTGCACTGGGATCACAAGCCGAGAGGGTGAACAAAGGCTGTCCTGCTGTGCAGGTACAGAGCCTCCTCCTGTATTAGAAGTTACCTCAAAGSAGACCTCTTCCTGGTATAGATACCTTACTAATGTAGATTTCCTTCAGACATGTAAATTTTCCTTTTACCAGTTAATTCTGTATCTACAGTTTCTCAGAATATGCGAGAGAACTCTATTTTGGGGACRTATGTGTTGAGTCCATCAAGTATCGAAAGTATTGATGGCTAATTATTAAATTGACCATTGGATGCCTGTAATTTCAAAGAAGAAAAGAAAGTAGACACCTCTTCACTTAACACCATGTATACACACACACWYACACACACACACATAAATGCACACATAAATTCTAGGGAGATTAAAATCTAAACCTAAAAATCAAACACACATAAAATTTAAGAGAAAAAGATAGAAGATTTTTATAATTTGGGGATGAGACTCTCAAGCAAAATACACAACACAAAAAAAAAAATCATGATGTTATTATGTAAAAATTAAAAATATATAGCCACCTCAAAGATATCATTAACAAAGAAGTGGTATGGCAGAAAACATTTGAAACACACATAATCAAGCAAATGATTAATACTGATATTATGTTTAAAAAAAACTCATCCAAATGAATAATCAAATGTTAATAATAGAACATYGGGCAAAGGTGCATTCCTGTATTTCCAGAGACTTGGGAAGCTGAGGCAGGAGGATCACAAATTCAAGGCCAGCCTCAGCAATTTAGCAAGACCCTGTCTCAAAATAAGGTATGAAAAGGTCTGGGAATGTAGCTCAGAGTGTCCCTGGGTTCAGTCCCTAGTACCTTATCACACACACACACACACACACAAAAAAAAAAAATTCTGAAAACATAATTACAAATCGGGCACACACCTGTAATCTCAGCAGCTTGGGAGGCTGAGGCAGGAGGATCTTGAGTTCAAAGTCAGCCTCAGCAACTTAGAGAGACCCTAAGCAACTCAGTGAGACCCTGTCTCTAAATAAACTACAAAATAGGGCTGAGGATGAGGCTCGGTGGTCAAGTGCCCCTGAGTTCGATCCCCATTACCCCCTCTCAAAAAAAAAAAAACACACACATAATTGCACATAATACAAATAGCCAATGAACAGAAGAGAAACACACAGCCTCCTCTTCAATGAAATCTAAATTAAATTAGCAAGAAGCAGCATCAAAAGCAATGTGAAAAGTTTTACTCAGAATTATTAGGCTAGGCCACCTCTGGGGATGAGAGTGGAAGGATGGGAGGACTTTCTTTATTTTGTGAATGTTTTTATTCCTTGGTGTTATATAATAAGCACATAAAGGCATGATAATTAGAAGAATAAACCCAGCCAGCCACAGTGTTGCAGCGCTGTAATCCCAGTGACTGAGGAGGCTGAAGCAGGAGGATGGCCAGCATGGGCAATGTAGTGAGACTTTGTCTCAGAAGAAAACTACGGAAAAAACTAAGGGTGTAGCTCAGTGGTAGTGAACTTCCCCAGGATGCACAAGGTCCTGAGTTCAGCCTCTAGTACAGGAAAAATAAACTCTGGAGCTTGAAGTACCTGGCTTCATGTCCAAACTCGGCAAGAGAGCAAGTCACTCAGCCATTGGGCCTTGGTGGGCCTTACATCCACATGGAAAGGGCTTCTTTCGTACTGGGCATTATTATTGCTAGGTGTCAAATGTCTTTTAAAGTAAAGGAAGTTAAGGGGGCAGACTAGATGGTACCTGGGAGCACAGCCCACTTTCCCARTTGACTTTGATAATGGCTGTAACTGGAAGGAATATTGGATAAGGTGAGATYCCCCTATGTTATTCCCCTATAAACACTCTATACTTGTTGTTGTCCTCCAAGAACATAGGGGTTTTTACTTCTTTGAAAAACAAGTCTCCTCTTTGAACAAATGAATAGAAAGGGTTTGTGAATAAGCTTTGCCWTTAGGGTACCTGATAGCTCTGCTGATCAAATAGGTAAAAGTCGGTGCTCACACTCYGGTAGCTTGAGTAGGGCTAACTGAAGGGGCCAGGACTGGCCAGGAATTACTAACCAAGTAATTCATAACTTYCAACATGAAGCCTACTCTGCTGTGGCCCAGCGGTCAGGTTAGGCAGGTTAAGAAGTATGAACCTGGGGACTCGGACACCAGCTTCCTCCTTGTCCACTCTGGTCCCTGACTCTGATTCTCTTCTCACAGTGGAGTGAGGTGCAACAGATGCTGAACGGGACACCCCTGTACATGTACCAGGACTGCCCACTGCAGGAGGGTGGAGACATTGAACACTGGCTTCGTTCCAACTGGATCTACCGAGGGAAGGAGGCCTCGCAGGTCCTGGTAGAGCTGCAGTTCACCGTGCGTGACTGCAAGAGTTTCCCTGGAGGAGCTGGGCCTCTGGGCTGCAAGGAGACCTTCAACCTTCTGTACATGGAGAGTGACCAGGACGTGGGCATCCAGCTCCGACGGCCCTTGTTCCAAAAGGTACTGCTTCCCCTCCATGCCATCTTGGTCCTGGCACTGATCCCTGCCTGGCTCCTTCCCATGACCCTGCTCAGCTAAGAAGAAACAGAAGGTGACAGAGACAACAAGAGAGTGCAGGCGTAGAATAATGAAGAGAATGTGGGACTACAAACCAGAAAGGCTGGATTTGAGGACCTCTTTGCTGTGCCTGTTAACCTCTCTGAGCTTTAATTTCCTCATCCTAAAATAGTGATTGTAATGGGGCCAGCCTTATCTAGTTTAGAGTCTTTCAATTGCATCCAGTAAGAAAACAGGATGCCCCAGTAGAAGAGGGAAATGTAGTGCTGAGGTTTTAGAAATGTCTATCTATCCCTGATGCTTGTCTTCCTAACACCCCAAAAAATATAGCTAGAATTTTGTCACAGGACATTTCCCTACCTGTGATCTCTCAATACCATTCCTTTCTTTCCCACTCAGGAAGTATAGTGAATGTAAAAGAGTAAGGAGCATATTATTTTTTTAATTAGTTGTTAATGGACCTTTACTTTATTTATTTGTATGTGTATGTGGTGCTGAGAATCAAACCCAGTGCCTCACGCATGCTAGGCAAGTGCTCTACCACTGAGCCACAGCCCCTGCCCAAGGAGCATATATTATGGGATGTGCTCTCATTTCTTTCCAAAGAGCATGTTGTAAAATTTATTATTAGCAATAAATTAGTCCTGACACGCTCTATAACTGATCACCACATAGGCACCAGGATTGGGTGCCACCTCCCAGTGGTGGAAATTTTACGGACAGTACAGTGCTATTTGCTGGGTTCCAGTCCTCGTCCCATCATGTCATAGCTAGGTGATCTCATACAAGGTCTCTAATTTCCTTTAGTCTTAGTTTCCTCATCTGTTAAGTAGAGATGATAAGACAGCCTACCCCACAGGATGATTGCATGGACTGAATAATAATATAACACATTCAAAATACTTAATCAGGTCCCTCACACAGAATAAGTCCTTCCATCATGATTGAGTAAATTGTAAAGTACAGGTTGAGTATCCCCTGTCTGAAATGCTTGGGATCAAAAGTGTTTCAGATTTCAGGGTTTTTTGCACTTTGGAGTATTTGTGAATACATAATGAGTCATCTGGGAATGGGACCCTGTTCTAAACATGAAATTCATATGTGTCATTCATGCCTTCTATCCACAACTTGAAGGTAATTTTATGCAATGTTTTTAGTGTGCCTGTACCTTGACTGTGACTTGTCACGAGGTTAGGTATGGAATTTTCCGTTTGTGGCATCATGTAGGTCCTCAAAAAGTTTTGTGTTGGGGAACATTTCGGATTTTGGATTTCCAGGTTAGGGATGCTCTCCTCTTCCGTGGGATGAAGCATGGCTCTGCTGTCACTGCCTCTCCTCTCACCCTTCCTCCCAGGTAACCACGGTGGCTGCAGACCAGAGCTTCACCATTCGAGACCTTGCATCTGGCGCCGTGAAGCTGAACGTCGAGCGCTGCTCTTTGGGCCGCCTGACTCGCCGCGGCCTCTACCTTGCTTTCCACAACCCTGGTGCTTGTGTGGCCCTGGTGTCTGTGCGGGTGTTCTACCAGCGTTGTCCTGAGGCTGTGCATGGCTTGGCCCGATTCCCTGACACTCTCCCTGGTCCTGGTGGGTTGGTAGAAGTGGCGGGGACCTGCCTGCCCCACTCACAGGCCAGCTCTGGGCCTTCGGGCGTGCCCCGCATGCACTGCAGCCCCGATGGCGAGTGGTTGGTGCCAGTGGGCAGGTGTCACTGCGAGCCTGGCTACGAGGAAGGCAACGGTGGTGTGGAATGCACTGGTAAGGAAGGACATGGTGAGAATCCTCAAAGGCCACTGGGAGGGCCTCTTAGGTGCCAAGGCAGGGAAGGAAGCCGGTGCTCCACCCAGTGACTTTTAGCCTAAGAGCCCTGGGGACACATTTGCAGAGGTGTTTCCAGATAAGGGATTGGAGTGGAGAGAGGGGTGCCTTTAGTTCTACATTAGGAAACTGACTCCACTTCATCCTCTCTCCAGCCTGCCCTAAGGGCTCCTACCGGACCCACATGGACACACCCCATTGTCTCAAGTGCCCCCCGCACAGCACAGCCCCGTCTGAGGGGGCCACCCTCTGTACCTGTGAGAGCGGCCATTACCGAGCCCCTGGGGAGGACTCCCAGATGGCATGCACACGTGAGTCCRTGGGGCAGGGCACAGTCGTCCGGGAGGAGACCCTTGACCTCTGCTGAGCCCTTGTTCGAATCAGAATTTTCTCGAGCTTATCAGATATTGGAGACTGCCAGGATGACAGGCGCTGGCTTTAGCCCCTCCCCTGTCCCCTGCTTTCCCTGGGAAAACACGGAAATGTGCTTCTGTCACTTTCTCTTCGGTAGAAGTCCAGTCTCTCTCTACGAAGGCTTTGGAGGACTTTGGGGCTGGGAGTCAGCCGCGTGGGTGAGAGCAAAGCTGGCACCTACAGATGGCTCTTYTCCCACAGGTCCCCCATCGGCTCCACAAAACCTGAGCTTCTCTGCGTCGGGGACTCAGCTCGCCCTGCACTGGGAACMCCCCACAGACATGGGAGGACGCCAAGACGTCACATACAGTGTGGAATGTTTGCAGTGTCAGGGTCCAGCACAGGAGAGGGGTCCCTGTCAGCCCTGTGGGACGGGCGTGCGCTTCTCCCCGAGTGACAAGGGGCTCACCACGCCTACTGTGCAGGTCGATGGCCTTGAACCCAGTGCCAACTACACCTTTAACATCAAATCCCAAAACGGAGTGTCAGGGCTGGGCAGCTCCCACCCGCCCACTGGTGCCTCCCTCAGCATCAACATGGGCCACGCAGGTGAGGCACCTGGAGCAAACAGAGGACCTAGGACCACAGGCATGAGGGAGGGGGAGGAAGCAGTGGAAATGCTACTTAAGTTATTCCCTCTTTCCTTCCAAATCCACGTCTATCCCTCCGGACTGTCAGAGTCACTCTCGGGCCTGTCTCTGAGGCTGGTGAAGAAAGAACCAAGGCAGCTGGAGCTGACCTGGGCAGGGTCCCGGCCCCGCAGTCCTGGGGGCAACCTGAGCTATGAGCTGCACGTGCTGAACCAGGTCAGGATGCTGCTGGGAGATGCCCTCTGGTGTCCTTGCCTGGGCACACCCCAACGTTCCTAGCCCAGAGTGTGGGATGGGGAAACCACCCACAGCAAACTGTGACTTACTTTCTCAGGACAAACCTTCAGAGAACTCTGTGCTTACCTTGCTAGTTAGCCTCTCCCCACATGTTCCAACACTTCCAGGGGCTGGCTCAGCACAGCCCCTTTAACACGAGTCTCACCCGCAGGATGAAGAATGGCACCAGATGGTTCTAGAACCCAGGGTCTTGCTGACAAAACTGCAGCCAGATACCACGTACATCGTCAGAGTTCGAATGCTGACCCCATTGGGCCCGGGCCCTTTCTCCCCTGACCATGAGTTTCGGACAAGCCCGCCAGGTGGGTTCTCTCTTGTTCTGCCCCAAACACATCCCCCTGTCATCCCATAGAAGCACCTCTGCTCCTATTCCTCTTCCCTGCACACCCCATCTCCCTGGTGTGGGGAACAGACACATACCACATATTAACTGAGAGGCCTGCCTTTTAATTGCCATCACCCCGTGAACTCTGAACGCCGGRCCTCTTCGCCATCTGTGTCTACAGTTTCCAGGAGCCTGACTGGAGGAGAGATTGTGGCCATCATCTTTGGGTTGCTGCTTGTGGTAGCTCTGCTGATTGGGATTCTTCACGTCTTCCATTCAAGGTGCTGGCTCCTGCCTCTTCCCTGCTCACCCATCCTGGGTCCCTGTGTCTGGTCAGAATCCCTGACTATAGCCCCGATGACCCTCCCATCGTCTAGCTCCAAAGCTCAAGGTGGCCCCACTCCCAACCTGCACACCCAGCCCCTGTTGTTTCTGGGGTAAATTCAGCCACAGCCCACTGGGCCCCACATGTGGTCCTGGGACCCTGAAGGAGCTGCTCCGCTCCCACAGGAGAGTCCAGCGACAACGGCAGCAGAGGCATCGGGACCGCCGCACCGATGTGGATCGAGGTGAGCCAGCAGTACCCATGCATGCTGGTGTATGTGTGTGTGTGTGTGTGTGTGTGTGTGTGTGTGTGTGTGGCCACTGGGACGCAAACGAGGGACCCACATCTGCCAGGGCAGCTTGGGGCATGCAAGTGGGGTTTATTGTCCCTAGGGCTCTCGTGTTTTGCCACCTAATTAACGTTGGTTAATTAACTCTGCCCAGATGGTCCACCGCGGCTCGGGTGCAGTTAGCTGCTGGCACTGGTGCTGCTGCACTGCCGCGCTGGGCCCTGGGCCTTCCCCACGGTGGTGGCCAGGTCTGTAGGCGGAGACCAACGCCAGTCAGGCGGGGGATTGGGGTCCTCTGAGGCATGTGGGCTTCCTGCTTGTCACCTCATTAGGTGGCCTTGCCAAAGGGAAATCTGTGGTCCATCCAAGTGGCTGGASTGGGAGGAAGGCTTCATCTGGGAATGAATGAGGTGTGACTGACTGGAGGGGCCTGGGGCCTGAGGCCAGGTCAGGAGCCACAGGAAGATTGGGAAACAAGTTGGCAGCAAATGYGCTGTCCAGGCTTGGGTCCTGACCCCTGCTGTGGACCCTGAGGAGTGAAGAGGGGGGCTTGGAGGTAGACAGGAAGAAGAAAGGCTAGGCCAGGCRGACTTCATTGCTACGAATAGAGACTGTCCTCCACTTGAGCCAGGGCTCACCTCGGGCAGCAGAGAAGTGTGGGAGGAGTGGGCTCAGTTGTCAGCCCCTTCCTCCTCACCCCCTCCATACTCCCAAGCCTGAAGGGGACGCTGCTATTGCTGAGCCCCCTGTCCTCCCACAGAGGACAAGCTGTGGCTGAAGCCCTACGTGGACCTCCAGGCCTATGAGGACCCTGCGCAGGGAGCCCTGGACTTCACTCAGGAGCTTGACCCAGCCTGGCTGATGGTGGACACTGTCATAGGGGAAGGTGATCTCCTTGGTGGTCCACAGCTGGTCCCCTCCGTGTGGTCGCACAGAGCTGCCAGCAGGCCGCTTCCTTCGGGCCTTCCCTGGGGACCCCAAGCTGGCTTCTCCTCTGGTCCCAGAGTTCCCAGATGAGTTCACACTCGCTCTGCCCTGTGTCCACTCTGAGCTGCTGCATTCATGTCAGAAGCCCGTATGTATCAGGAGCCTTGGAGCCGACCTTCCTGGCTGCACCCTTTGCTCTGGGGTTGTGAGTTTTCTGATAAGCAAGTCATCTCTGCCCACAGAGGTGTTGCCATCTAGGGCTCAGGCTGCTCTCAGACGGTTCCCAAAAGCGGGAGAGATCCAGAGCCTCCCAGCRTTCCACCCCATCAGGGGCCCAGTGTCCTTGGGCTGCCCTGATCCTGTAGGTCACCAGAGGAAATGGATCTGAGCAGAGAACAAAGCTTGGCAGTGTCCTTGCCAGTTGTGCAGCCAAGCCAGCTGAGCCGTGACCAGGGAGCTCATGGGAAAAGGCAGCAAGGATCAGCCTCCCCCGCCACTCGGGCCTGCTCTTGACAAACACGGCGGCCCCACACACAGCACAGGGCCCATTTCCCCGGCATTTAGCAAGCACCTACCACAAGCCAAGTGGTTGCACTAACACCAGAAGACAGTGGGACCAGGTAGCAGAGATCCGCGCTGGCTCCAGATTGTCCCTTCCCTAGGAGAGAKAGACTAATCCCTGACCCAGGAGGTGCACTCCACATTTCTGTGCCCCCAGAGAAGGAGAGGGCCAGAGGACAGGAAGGGGTCACTGCCTGACCCTGGGGCAGCCTGACAGTGCCCGAGACCACAACCTTATTTTGTTTCCACCAGGAGAGTTTGGGGAAGTATATCGAGGAACTCTGAGGCTCCCCAGCCAGGACTGCAAGACTGTGGCCATTAAGACCTTGAAAGACACGTCCCCAGATGGCCAGTGGTGGAACTTCCTTCGAGAGGCCACTATCATGGGCCAGTTCAACCACCCACATATTCTGCATCTGGAGGGCGTCATCACAAAGAGTATGAGCCGGGGGGCGGGGAAGGAGGGAGTAACACCACCAKCCGTGGAGGGTGTGCTACCAAGGGCAGGAAGCCTGGCTCTGGGGTGACGGCAYGCGCTCTGTCTCAGGAAAGCCCATCATGATCATCACAGAGTTCATGGAGAATGGAGCCCTGGATGCCTTCCTGAAGGTGAGGAAGGTGGAGGACCAGCTGGGGAGGGGGCTGTACCATGGAGCCCTGAGCCTTGGGAAAGGAGGTCCTGCTCATCCCCCGACTCACCCACTCATCCTGCTGCAGGAACGGGAGGACCAGCTGGCCCCTGGGCAGCTGGTGGCCATGCTRCAGGGCATAGCAGCTGGCATGAACTACCTCAGTGACCACAATTATGTCCATCGGGACCTGGCTGCCAGGAACATCTTGGTGAGTCAGAACCTGTGCTGCAAGGTGTCTGACTTCGGCCTGACCCGCCTCCTGGACGACTTTGATGGTACCTATGAAACACAGGTTAGAGACAAGTATGCACCGTGTACATGTCCATATTCACCATCACCCATCAACCACACAGTCACACCTGTAGAGTTACAAGTATCTGTGCTCCTGAGACACAATAACCTTCTATCCCCATCCCACGTATTTTTTTTTTTTTTTTTTTTGGTGGTGGTGTTATTGTTATCGCTTGTTGTTGTTTTTCACCCCTGTTCATGCCCTAAAGCACATCACTTTTCTGTCCCATGCCTTCCTAGGGGGGAAAGATCCCCATCCGCTGGACAGCCCCTGAAGCCATTGCCCATCGGATCTTCACCACAGCAAGTGACGTGTGGAGTTTTGGGATTGTGATGTGGGAGGTGCTGAGCTTTGGTGACAAGCCCTATGGGGAGATGAGCAATCAGGAGGTGAGTCTGGAACATTCTTCCCCATGTCACCCCTGCTTCACATCGCTTGTCTCCTCTCAAATCGCTCCCATGGTCCTTTCTTGCAAATATTTTCCTGACCCCAGTTTCTCTCTGGTCCCTTTACATCACAACATGTTCTCTACTGTTCCCAACCTGGTCAGGATTGCTYTGAGGCTATATATTGCAATGATCTTGGGTGAACACAGTTTGGTCCTAGGCCTGCAGGTCAGCTTCCTGCCCTAGGGCTGTCCTCCCTGTTTCCCGCTACAGGTAATGAAGAGCATTGAGGATGGGTACCGGCTGCCCCCTCCTGTGGACTGCCCTGCCCCTCTGTATGAACTCATGAAGAACTGCTGGGCATATGATCGTGCCCGTCGGCCCCACTTCCTCCAGCTGCGGGCACATCTGGAACAACTGCTGGCCAACCCTCACTCCCTGAGGACCATTGCCAACTTTGACCCCAGGTAACCATGCTGGGAAGGGACAGGTGAACTCAAAGGGCAGGACTGGAAGGTCAGAAATGGGCACTCCACTCCATCCACCAAGGGTTGGCCCCTGAGGAGCTCTGGACAGAGTCCAGCACGGGAGGCAGGATTCATTGAGGAGAGCCCACCCTGATGAGATCAGATCCCAACCTCCATGGTATTTTGGTTGAAGATAGGAAACAAGCACACTGAAGTGGAATGCACATGGAAAATTTAGAAAGGTACAACTTAAAGAGGTCTTGCTCACCATTACCAAGCCCACAGAAAATCACAGCCTGACCCCAAGTCCCTGCCTTCACCTAGAACCCTTCCTGCAACCATCTCTCCCTGACTATATTGTATTATGGCCAAAGCCACATCTCTGGGGAGCTTCTGTGGCCCCTTCTGAGAATTGGATACGTCCCCTTCCTCACAGAAATATCCTGCATGTGGAGGAAAGGTTCATACATTTGATCCATTTTGGAGCACCAAATGGATCCATTTTGGAGCACTTGCTGGACAACGGAGACAAAGCAGRGCTTATGGTCTGGTGCCCCGAGGGAGCTTGGGCAACTAGGTTGGGATGGGACTGGCAGGCACAGCCTTGGAGTCTGGGGAGGCCTTGTGACCACTGGGCCAATCTGAGGGTCCAGGGAGCTGAAGACCAGAAGACTGCAGGTATTGCAGGATGACAGCAGCATCCAGCTCAGGGACAGCCACCGTGAAGCTGGGGAGGCAGCTGGGGTCAGTGCCAGGAACCGACCCTCTGGGAAGGTTGGACTTCCTCGGTGCAGAGAACTGTTGAGACTAGTTTTTCAAAACCATCCATGAGAGAGGGTCAAAAATGGACTTTACCAAGAACATGGCTAGAATGTAGAGAAAGAAGTGGTGGGAGGGGTTAAGGTAGGGGAGGAKCTGGGCCAGGCCAGGCTGTACTTCCAGTGCTTTATCAGTGGACCAGCCTGGCATACGGCCCTCTGCATCAAACCACCATATATAACCTTGTTTCTGGGCGAAAAAGTGTTCCAAGTTCCAACTTCTGAAACTATCTTTTGGAGCACAGTTCCCTCATACGCTAGAGACTGCATGTGCTAATCTTTCTGGAATGTTGGCTGTTTCTCCCCCAGCAGATTTACTTTGTTAATGGTTTTTGGCTCTGGCTGGCTTTAGTACAGGAACACTCATTGTATTGTGGGTGTCAGAGCGCAACAATAGGTGGCAAAGTGGGGGTTGTCCTAGGACTCAAGCAGCCACCCTGGAAAAAGGTGGGACCACACCCACTACAGGGCCCCTGCTCTCCTGCCCCCCACTTCCTCTCGGTTCATGCCTGAACCAGCATCCAGGCAAGTGCCCAAACAGACTGGTTGGGGTCCCCTTCTGTCAGGGACTCCCAGGGCAGCTACTTTCCTCCATCAGTCAGCTGCCCACAGCAGGAAACAGCCCAGGATGTGGGTTCAGACAATGGCCGACTAATCCACCAAGCCCAGATGATCTCTGCACCCACCGGCTGCGATGCCGAGGCCCATTCCAACCAGCCCCTGAACCCTCAGGAACTGACTCAGTCTGATATTCCACAGGGTGACACTCCGCTTGCCCAGCCTGAGCGGCTCGGATGGGATCCCTTATCGAAGCGTGGCCGAGTGGCTGGAGTCCATCCGTATGAAGCGCTACATTCTGCACTTCCGCTCAGCTGGGCTGGACACCATGGAGTGTGTGCTGGAGCTGACGGCCGAGTACGGACACTGGGGCAGGGGTAGCCTGGGCACGGGACGGCAGCTGGGGGCTGGGCCACCAGGCTCCATGCCTCGCTTCTCTTCCACAGGGACCTGACGCAGATGGGAATCACACTGCCGGGGCACCAGAAGCGCATTCTTTGCAGTATTCAGGGATTTAAAGACTGAGTGGCCACCAAGAGGACACCTCAGCCCTCTCCTTCCACTGTTCTCAGGACAGGCCRCCAGGGTCACTGCCTGGGCCCTTCCTCAACCTACGATACGTAGGCTATTGGTGCTGCTCCTGCCCTCKCTTCCAGGACTCTGTCTCTGGACTCAGGAGCCTCCTTGTTTCAAGAGAGGTGGGGGGGGGGGGGTAGAGGTGAAATGACACCTGGGCTGGGGGAGGGTTTAATATGTATACAGACATACACACATATCTATATTTTTGTAAATAAACAGGAACTGGGTTTTCATCCCTATTCCTAATCTTTTCATCTTCATCTCCCATCACACCCGGACAGTTGTAGGCACTATGAAAGAGTCCATGACTGAAAATTTTGGAAAACAAGTTCTTTAATTTGTGGCTGTAGCCTCAACCTGGCAGCACGGTGCGAGGCGGGTGTCCAGGCTCGTCGGGCCTAGGCAAGCARAGCACAGAGGCTGCTGAGACCAGCCAAGGGTATTGGTGCAGCAGTGAAAGCAGCAGCACTAAGCCTGGTGCCCCCTAGGGTGGGGACCCTGGAGGACAGCGGGCCATCCCTGCAGCATAGGCAAGGACTGCAGCCCAGGGCTGGGCCTCAGCACCCTAGGCCAATAGGGCCCTGGGTCAGGGCACTTGGGATACTAGGGAAGGGTTTGGAATGGAGGGAGGTTCAGGGCGAGTGGAGGTAGGGATTGGTCTCAATGTGGGTGGYCATTGATGGGGTATGGACCTGCAGTCTGGAAGGAGGCCTGTCCGCTTTATGTCTGGGCTTTAGCAGCGTGGCACTTCCGACAAAGCACATGGCCGTCCAGAGGGAAGCAGCCGTCGTCATCCGCTTCAACGGACAGGGGCTTCCCACAGTCCTGGGAAGAAGGAAGTGTAAGAGGGGCACTGACCAAGAAGGTCCTTGCTCCACCTCACTGTCCTGTCTTCAGCTTCATTTTTTAAATTAGGAAAGCCAAATGCTTCATATGGCCCAGAGCTGGTGTCCTGATCATGTGTGTCTGCCTGAACACAACAGGTTCCCACTCTTTACGCTCTAGGTCTCTCTCGGCTTCCAGGGTCCCCTCTCCCCACCACCCCAGTGCAGGCTTGGGGCCTCTCCTGTCCTGTCTGCATTCCATTCCAACCTCCTGTCTCTTAGAACCTCACTCAACTCCCCATCYATGCCACCATAGAACACTTCCCTCCCACTGGGCAGCCCCTTTCTTATCCAAGACTCAGAGTGACCTTCCTGAGGGGACAGGAGGGACAGCTGACCTCGCACTTGTAACACTTCATGTGAAAGTTCTTGTCCAGAGCGACCACTCTCACGGTCTCATCACGGCCAGGCTCCGGCATGATGGGCTCTGCGCAGACGGAGCACTTTGGGGCGTACTGCCTAARGCGGGCAGAAAACAAGGTCCGTGGGGTGCAGATCACTTACGTTTTCATGCCCCCCAAGAAAGCACAAGGTACTGCGACTGCAGTTGGAGGGTCACATGGCAGACCTCTCTCTCCTGCATCTCCAGGGGAGGGAGCTCAGGAAAAATGACCAAGATTGAGCACCACAGCCAGTCCTCATCAAGGGGAACTTTCTGCCTCCCCACTCACCCTCCCAGCACCCATCTCCCACACACCTGACTCTGTTCTTTCCCACCAGAGCCTCATCTCAGCCATCCACACGGTAGCTCATCAGGAAGCATGTGGGAGGTGAGCCTCCAGCTCCCATCCCTGGCTTACCCCCAACCCAACATGTGGGTGTGTCTACCCTGAACCCCAGGCAGTGCAGAGGGGCATGGAGTCCCAGTCACCCCACATGGAATCCTGAAAAAATGCATCCCTGAGGTGGGGGCAGACACAGCCGTTTTCCCAGCCGGCCCTTTACTATGTGACGGTATTTTGCCAGCCAGCCTAAGAAAGTGGCCACTCTAAGGAGAAACCAGTGCTCCCACCAAAGGAACTTTCAGAACTCAGCCTGTGTGTGAAATGAAGTCATGCCAGTACATATTGCTGAACACTGAATACACTCCCAAAGAAGCTCTGGAGAGAGAGCTAGGGCAGGAGCAGCCAGTAGCAGGACCAGCTACACAGGCCTAGGGCCACTGCGCAGCTAAATCCAGATGTGCTGTTCCCTGCTATCAACAGRCAGGCTGTGGGGCCAGAAAGCAAAACCAGAGATTTGGAGCTAGCCTGGGACCAGGTGTTAACCTGGCTACCAAAGCATGGATGGAACCCAGAGTGGGGCCYAGAATGCATGTAAGTGGGTCCTCACTTGTGGTAGTCAGGGACGCAGTGAGGCCGGTTGGCCTGGTCCACGATGAAGGAGGTGCCTTCCAGGGGACAGGCGCAGACCACGCAGGTGAAGCACTGCGGATGGTAGGCTTTGCCCGTGGCCCTCAACATTCGTTCAGTGATGGGCTGCCCACAGGTGTTGCACTTCTCCAGGGTATCCTGAGGAGTCAGAGGAGCAGGATGCCAGGGAACAAGCACCCAGGGGCCAGGTTCCAAGGCTCATCCACCCCGTTCCCAGCCCCAGAACCCCAACCCAGACTCACTGTATAGCAGCCCTCACAGTACGGCACCCCCTCCAGGCTGTAGAACTGCTGTCCCTGGAGCTGCTGCTCACACTTGTGGCAGGTAAAGCAGGTGATGTGAAACAGCTGCCCCAGTGCCCGGACTGCGGGCTGCGAACGATCCAGTGGCTGTTGACACTTGCCACACGACTCTGGGAAGGCCAAAGAAGAACACCATGAACAGGAAGAAGAACTTAAGCTTGCAAGGGATCAGCCAGCTCAGGCCCCAGCCAACACAGCAATGGAAGGGGAAGTGTCACCACAGCCGGCGATGGGCTCACCATTCACTGTCACACTCTGCCTCTGAGGTTGCTCCATGTCCTGCATCAGCTGCTGAGTCAGCTGCTCCAGCTCCTCCACCTCCTTCAGGGTCAGGGGTCCCGGAGCCCCAGGAGAGCGCACCTGAAACCCCAACACCTTCTTCACATTCTCAAGGGTCACTCCCTCCAAGGACCCACCCAGAACTGCCCGCTGACCCCCTTCTTCCAAGGAGGACCTAGCTCTCGCCTGTTTCCTAGATGCTCAGTTTAAAGCTCTTCCTTCTCCCCCCCTGCCCARGCCAGCAGCACCACATACATCACAGAGGGGCAGGGGATGACCTAAGCTCGCATCTCCACCCACTTCACCCAAAACCCAACCACACCCAAAACCCAACCCCGCCCCCAACCCCTGCAATCACAGACAGGCCAGAACAACTGAGCAACGGAGGCCACGCACACTGAAGCACTGAATACGCCAGCCACGCACCAACTCCACAGAGCATGCTCAGACACAGCCCCACGGGGCAGGGGCACGCAATGCGTGCACACTCGTGCACACACACCTACCCGTCCCGCCTGCTGCTGAGCAGCCCCTGTTAGCGTGAGGATGCAACACAGGCGGGAAGCACAGGTTAAACCCCAGAGCTGTCTGCAGAACTCCCCAGCCCTGGGCCCTACAGAGACCCTGGAGTCCCTCCTGAGTGAGGGGTTTCTGGTCTACTTGACCCAAATCCCTGCCCAGTAGGCCTCAGAGGAGGCCCAAAGACCAGTGCCTAGGCCAGCCCACCCCTCCTGCTTAGGGGGATTCTGAGTTCTGAAGACTGTGGGTGGAGGTGAGGGAAGTTTAGGACAGGACACTGCAGGAGGGCTGTCAGACAGGCAACAGCATGTTCATATGAAACTCCTGCAGGAATGCTGGTAGGTCCACCCAGGACCGTGATCCCTGGTCAGAGCTGCACCTGCTGATGCCGACATTCCTTCAACACAGGAACTGCCATGCCTCCTGCCACCTCCTTCCACGGCCACTCTCCCCTCAGCCTTGGCTCTGCACCTACTGCTGCACCACAGTAGCACCAGGGCTTGGCTCAACTCTGCTCTGCCCAGGGAAGCACAGAATTAGAGTGTGGACTTCCCCAGCTCTTAGGCATGTTCCCCTAAGACTCCTACAGTCTCCTACCCTCAAACAACAAGTCCCTCAATGAAAGCGTCCCCTTTTGCTTCAACTAGGTTTTCCTGCCTGGTTGTGGGGTCAGAGAAAATGACTCGGGGAGCTTTGTTCTCCAGTATCACTGTAAATGCCCATTCCGTTCTTTAAAAGGATGAACAAGCTATCCATACCCCTGCCCTCAGGCACCCATGTCCTTTAGTCACTGCCTTCCTCTCTGCCTGCCAACAGTTTCATAGACATGGGACTCAGACCTTGATCTCAATTCCCATGGCTATGAACTACTTTCCATCATTCACTGTACAACTGGAGACGCACTGGACCGAAGGGTTACGGGTCTCTGTCCCAAAGATCCTTTCCAGGTCCCTGGGGCCTCTCCTTTACTCAGTCTGAGTCTGCAAAGGGAGCCCAGCACAAGGCTTGAGTCTCCTGACCCCACCTCCCCCCAATGCCTTTCTGAAATGTCAAGCCCCCAAGCTGACCCCTGGAGTCGGTATGCCCACAGGGTCCTATTGTCGCTCTTATAGCCCTCTACTACCCTCAGCTATCTGGCCCGATCTCCAACCCTGGGTGGCACCACTGCCTGCTTCCTGTTTCAACCTCCAAGCTGCAGCAAGGAGGTGGAGAGATCACCAAACACTGCAGAGTGAGCTCACAAAACACTGCAGCGCCCTCCACGCCCTCCAGCCCCAGCTCGGCTGTCTGTATTTAGCTCCAGCAGATTCCCAGTTGCCTTCCCCACAGCAGCTGTTCCAAAACTTTTCCATGTCCTAGAGCCCCCAAATGCTTCATCCTCTCACTCTCACAGATGACCTCACCCCAACACAACTGATGGCAGCCAGCCAGCACAAGCTCCCTCAGTGTCCTTCTGAAGCATAGGAAGCACTACGCCTGTGTCCCTGTCCTTGATCTCTGGGAATGCCTCGGGGTGAGATGCCCCTGTTCTCAGCACCACTGACCCTTTCCTCACTGGCTCTGGTCTCCTGTTTTTACAGACACACCCTGATCCTCCTCCTCTAACCTGAAAAAT